GTGGGGCCCACATCAGTGTTCTCTACAATACTCATTTAGCTTTTGCAGAAAGGGTTTTGTGTTACTTGAAAGGTACTCCAGGGAAAGGTATTCTATTTTCCAAACATGGACACATGAAGCTGGAAGCTTTCACTGTTGCTGATTGGGCAGGATGTATTGATGATAGGAGATCCACCTTAGGTTATTGTGCTCTGGTCGCTGGGAACATCGTGTCATGGAAGAGTAAGAAACAGTCTGTAGTTGCTAGATCCTCATCTGAAGCAGAATACAGGGAAATGGCACATGGTGTGTCAGAATTACTGTGGCTACGATCCCTTTTAGAAGAATTGGGGGTTGACTATGAGAAGCCAATGATGCTCTACTGTGACAACCAAGTAGCTATCAATATTGCACATAATCCCGTTCAACATGACAGAACTAAGCACATTGAGGCTGATGGACATTTTATAAGGGAAAGAGTTTCCTTAGGAGAAGTTTGTTTGCCATTCACACATCAGACGAACAATTGGCTGATATCTTGACCAAGGGAGTTCCGAGAGGGAAAATGACACACTATATAAGCAAGCTGGGCATGATTGACATCTATGCTCAGCTTGAGGGGGAGTGTAAAGAGACTGGGCCGAATGGGTCCTAGTATCTTCTCTTGTAATATTTTTTTTCTATTTTCCTGTTAGCTAATGGGCCTGCTATTTCTTTTTGTTTGATCTCTTTATGTTACTGCCTAGCTGGCTGCCCACTTAAGGGCATACTTGTAATTATTTTAATGTTAATTTTTAGTAAAAGGGATTAGAGAAGAAAGGGAAGGATTATTCAAACCTTTTCTCCTTCTTCCTCCTCTTTTCTTCGTCTTCTTCTCTTGTACTGCTGCTCTTACTTTTCTTCCTCCTTTTTCTCTCTAATTTTTCAAGTTTACACCTATTTTTGAGGACTGGTTTGCATTTTAAACATAATGCAGGGGAGGGTTGTAAGGCTTTGCATGGGCCACTACTGGTGCTGCATGGACTTCACGACCTGTGTGGGCCTGAGTTTCCTGAACAGTATGAGCCTGGTAATCTGATGGTGGGCTATCTGCCTAGGATCTATCAAAGTCTTCAGTCTCTTTGCTAGGACTTTAGCAATAATTTTATATAAGCTTCCTACAAGACTAATGGGCCTGAAATCCTTTGTGGTTTTTGCATCTTTTCTTTTGGGTATCAAGACAATGAAGGTTGCATTTGTTCCAGGTGAGATTTCTCCTTCTTCATGAAATTCCTCAAAAAACCTCCCACAGATCACCCTTAATAATCTCCCCTGTTTGCCCCCTTTTTAGCTAAAGAATCTGCCAGGTTGTTCCTTTCTCTTGGAATCCAGTATATCTGTACTCTTGGCATTACTTAGTGTTCTTCTTATATCTCTTAATAAGTTTCTGTCTCTGTGCCTCTATGTTCCTGAGTTGCTCTGAACTAAACCGTTAACCATCATCCTAGAATCCTCTTCCACCAAAATATTCCTGGTTAAAAATTGCTTTTTCTTTTATTTGGATCCATACCCATGTGGTACATTATTTTTCTTGATTTATTTTCCAACTTTTTTATTTCTAGGCAAAGTTGATGAGGATTAGGTTGCTAAATGCAAATTTTGGCCTTGCTTGTCTCTTATGTAGGAAGAGGATCTCTTTACAATGGCTTATGGCTTACCTTTGAAAGGAGAGGGAGATGAGAAATGTCTTTCAATGCTAAATGCGGTGGAGGAAACAATTTCTCGGCAATTGCGTGCTTGCAAAGCATCTTCATCTAAAAAAGGGATATTAGAGAGTAGGTTTTTTTACCAGTAACTATTTTTCAACTGTTGATTTTTGTTTATGATATTCTAGTTTATTAGGCTCTCGCCAAAGAAAAAATAATTCCATTTCATTTGACTTTGTACTTGAAGATATTTGAGCAATCAACAACTGTGCTAAGACACATCTTTGTTGATTTCTATGCTTTTAACCTCTGTAACTTTTGCCTAATGTCCCATACCTGTGAATACATGCATGGTCATCAAATTCTGATTATTGGTACACCACTTGGATTGCCATGATCCAAAATGTCTATCATTTGAAAATCATCCTTATTGTACAGTGAAGAGATTTCATATGAAGGTCATAGAGTAGGGAATGCAGCTTGAGTGCATCTGGTTATGTGGTCAACTGATCATTGATTATGACAATCAAAACACTGAAGACAACCCCTTTGGATTGGACAAAATCTAACATAAAGTTACTTGGATAAGTTATGCTGAACTGTCAAAAATCAAAAAGAAAAAGGAATGCGGAACTGCCTAAATAATAGATCAATCTGTTGCAGTCTCCACAAGGAAGATAAGAGGTTTACTTGAAGAATAAATTGTAATATGCAAAAACTGAATAAACAGATTAACTAGGTTAGTAATTTAAGATATCTGGGATCCAAGAAAGAAAATATAGGACAAAGATCGTGTTATTGTACCCGTGACATAAAGGAAGAAATTACACTGTGTTTTCATAGGAGGGGGGACAAGATTAGAAAATTAAATACGTCCTAGCCTCCAACTCCAAAAGAAGGCCTATTAGCCTCTGATGTACAAAGCAGCCCGACTTGTAAAACTCATACCCAAAGCATAGACCTTAAAAAAAAGATCCATTAACCCACTCCTAAGAGTAGCCCAACAAGCCTAACCCTGTCTCAGAAACAATGACCTGAAACCTTGGACATTTTGATTAGAGAAGCAAGATTTTTTTTGATCAATAACAGTGGATTTTATTTTATTTTATTAAAGTATTGAAAATTACAAAGCAAAGGAGCTAAACAATCTTAACTCCCGAATGCAACCAATGTACACCCAAAATGTAAAGCAATTACAGAACAGCCCAAAACGTAGAGTTTCTGTTCACCCCTTGCCTAGCTAGACCATCTGCCAATGAATTTGCACTTCTCTTTACCCATGTACATTGAATTTCAATGTCCTTAGTCAGCCACTTAAATTTCCTCTTTTCATTGCTTTAATTCCAGAGCCTAGAGTTGTCCTCTTTTAGCCAGTTCACCACAATTTCAGAATCTCCTTCTATGATCAATTTATTAATATTCATGTCCTTGACCCTTTGTACCCCTTCAAGGGCTGCTAGTATCTCAGCAAGATTAGGGAAGCAAGATTATTGGCATCCAATATGAACTGTTTGTTCAGATGGATTCCTAGGTTGTGGACTGAACTGGCACTCATTGGCAATGGAAGAATTAGAATGGGGGCCCCCTGACTCCGGGGTACCTTGTAATGTATTTATGCAATGGCCGCATGTGGCTGGCACACTCATAAAGTTTTATGGCAATCATCCATAGTTGCTTGTTTTTCCTCCCTCTCGCTTCATGCAAATATCCATTGATTCTGATTTTTGAGATGGTGTTGCACCACCACCTTGCACATGCCATCTTATGAAAGCAATGCATAAGAAGCATCCTCCACATTTGTAATTTTGTACATTAGATGGAAACTGAGAAAATGCTCATGTTGAAGCCATTGACCTTGGCAAACTTTGGACCTATGCGTTCATCCCATTCATCCCCCCATTGACGTTGCTTCCTTTGCTCGGATATATTGTAGAAATAATTAGTGACTATTTTTTATGGTTTATATTTTTATCAGTTCTTTGACCTGTTACAATTTATTGAGTTTGAGCTTGTAACTTGAATATTTGATAGGCCTTCATACTTCTCTCATAATGTCTGTTTACTAGTTACACTCTGGGTTGTTCATTCTTTTAATGGTGAGATCAACTATTCTAATGCAGATATAGAACCATTACAAACTAATCTTGACTTGGAAGAGGGATATTGCAAAGCTTTGCTGTGCCGTTTACGCTTTCGTAAGGTCTTACCCTGTGTTTGCTCTTCTCTCATCAGTTATGTTGCAGAGATAGATTCTAGAACATCTGTTCTCTTTATATGAACACATATCTGCATCAAAGTATTTTAATCATCAGTTTTCATCCACAGGGATTGCTAGATCCTGTTGTCAAATGTTTATAAATTCTTTCATCATTTTTTATTCAGTAGTGCATTGATTAGGCGAACATCTAGATAATTCCTTGGTTTCTTGGATTTCCCTCCCTACTTGTGCCTCTCTATTCCTGGCTCTTTTGTTCCTTACTTATATATGTTTTCAAAACTTTTCTTCTGCTTTCAGCTTTATTTAGTTAGATTTTTCTGGTTTGAGTTTATTTTTTGTGATGATTCGGCATTCTTATGTGTTTGTTTCAGGACATCTGTCTCATATTGTTGTGCTCTGCTACCTTAGTAGTTAATTTGTTAGCTTGGACTATTTTCTTGTTTTCTTAATAAATTTAACTACGGTTGCAATTTGTTCAGCATTTTTACCATGTTCTCATGTGTATGAAAAAACCTCAAGGAAGAGGTTTTGAGTTGGCGAGGAAACATATAGCTTCCTGCTTGTCGGAGCTGGCCTACATTTACAATTCATTGGAATTCCTTGGATTTAATGCATATGGATCTTGTCAAAATGATATAGAAGACAGCACAACAGCTTCTGGTCGTCAGCCTGTTGGGTTTGACGCAAGTCTAAACAGTAGATTAGCAGCTCCTACTCCTCCACGTGCTATCAAAATTCTGAGCTGGAAAAAGGTAAGAACTTGAAGTGGAATATCTAATTTATGGACACACTTGCAATTTCATTAATCTAAACTTCCCCTATCCTGTTTCTATCCAGGCTATTAAGTATTTTGAGAAGCTTCTGCATGATTTAGACACCATATGTTCCTTCTCTATGGATCCATTGTTAGAAGGTATTCTGCGTTTTGTGGTTCAATTTCAAAAATCCCAACCTGATTTAGTTGCAAGAGCTCATCTGCAGGTCAGTTCAAGCCTCTAGCCCTTTTCTTCTAGCAATTCTGTTTTATCATTTAAAATGTAACCATTGTTTGTTGCAATCTGTTTTTCCCCACTCTAACTGCTTTTTATTGCTACCTAATTTATCTGCACATTTGAATATACTGTTTCTGGAAGATAACTTCTTGTTCTGCTTACAATCATTCTGAAGAAAAGTTTGGATATTTACTTTATCATGCCTGTAACATCATATCCATGAAACTTTCTTATAGATGTAACGAGAATGAGGATGCATATCCACTGCATATATCTACTTTATTGATGAAAAAATGTGTACAAGAAAGCACAGAAGGTGCTTGACAAACACCTTAATATATCCACTGCATAATGCTCTGACAGATTTTTTTTTTCTTTCTTTATTTTTTTCAAAACCATGTAATGGCTGGCAAAGTGGGAAGCCCTCCTCCTTGTATATCCTCTAGGGTCCTCACTATGCATTGCCTTTGAAGGCATGGATATTGGAGGGAACCCTGATTCTTTATCATGTGCACCATATTGTACATGCAAGATTTTTTCTGCATAGAGATTTAACACACATCAAGTTTATTTATTTATTGGTTGATAGTTACTTTCCAGGGAAACCTTTTTTTGGTTTGTTTTTGATTGATAAGTTTAAACATTTTATTAATAGAACAAAAGAATGAATATGTACAAGTATGCCAAGCAAGGTATAGGCTGGCCTTAGCTGCCTAATCCAATCCCTTGTTTAGATTCCTTCTACATGCATGTGACCTCAAAACAAATGATCCCATTCTCCACTTGTTTAGCTAGTTTGTCAGCTAAACAATTTGCTGATCTTTGAACCCAAGAGAAGGTGGTATCTACTATCTACTTCCCTTGTCAAATGTCTAATCTCCCTCAAGATGTATTGATGTTGCCATTGGCCTGGCCCTTGCCTTTTCCTCCAATTCACTACCACCTTTGAATCAGTCACCTTCCACCTGCAATTTGCTGTAACTTGATGACCTACTTATCTTAGTCCTTATAATGTCATTAACAGTTAATCCCTTATGGAGATTCCAATGCCTATTTATTGGAATACATGGCTGGTATTGTCCCAGTGTCACCTAGGTGACTAGGCACTCTTGGTTGGGTACCTCACCTGAAGGCCTTGACTTATAGCAACAAGGCACCCAACCTTGGTCACAAGAATCACAAGGCAGACACCTATTATAATATCATTACTATGGTTACATCTTACTAATATGTTTGTCAATACATTCTATTATATATCTCTTCTTTTGGTAATCCTTACCTTTATAAAAAAAAACTGTTTAAAGTTTTCCCCTTTTCTACTCTCTCTCTCTCTCTCTCATGTGCGCGTGCACATTAAACAAAACAATGGATTCACCTTTGTTCTTTTTTCACTTATACTCACTCTTTATCTTAAATTTTTGTCATATAAAATTATAGCCTTATTTAGTTGCTAATTTTGATATGAAATTTCTCTATTTAAATACTTATTATATTAGTATTGTTTTTGAAAATATTGAAATTAATATATTTAAAATACTCATGTCTTTTAGATATGATGATTTGCCATGTTTTGAGAGGAAATATAATGTTCTTAATAAAGGGAATTACTATGTTTTCTCGATTAGTATGTATGCTGATTGGTATATAAATGCTTTGACGACTATTGCCCAAAATTGCCTAGATGCTTTGATAATTATCTTCCCATGCTCATTCTTGAATCCCATGTGTCTGACAGTCTAGGGTTGCTCATGCTGCACCCATCAAAATTTAACTTAATTTGGTTGGTCATGGGTGGAGTTCAAGGTACTAAAGATTCGGCTCTAGATGAGGAGGAAGAAGAAGCCACCATCTGCTCTAACTGATGTTGTCCACCGGAATGTGGTAAAAAATGTCCAAAATTTTAATCTAATGAATGAACCACTATCACAGATATGGATTTGTTAGTAGCCGACTTCTGAAGGGTTCTTTATTCTTTTTCCTTTTATTAATGGTGTAATGTAATGTCCTTTTTGTTTCATTTTAAGTTGTTTATTCCATGTTTAATTACGGGCATTTTAGTCCTTTGTACTAAACACTAAGAATAAATTGGAAAGTTGTTTGTCCTGTGTAATGTCCTTTTAAGTTGTTTGTCCTGTGTTTTTATTTCTCATCATTTTTCTAATCTTTTTGCAACCAAGTTGGGAATCCTGAAGACTTTGGGGTAGTAAATTGGAAAGTTGGCCAATGTAGAGTTTATTAGGGTTGTTCTTCCTCCCAATGGTACATAGTTCTTCCAAGTGGAAATCTTGTAGGTATAATTAGAAAATTGGGATTGATCAGAAAAAATGTTGTTTTTGTATATTTCTGTCAAGCTCTTAAACAGCAGGAAATTAGTTACTTTAATTAATTATAAACTGTTGTTTATCTTGTTCAACTGTTTCTATTCGTAGTTGAATTAACATCATATATAAGCATTTGTCACTTCTCTTCACTACTTTAATATTCTTCTTACATACACTATGATAACTACTAAACAGCGTCTTCTAGTCCAAGATGGAAAGCTTTATGGACGGGATCCTGTATTTGATGTGATCTGTAGAGCTGCAGCTGTATCTGATGTACCAAAGAACAGTGGAATTCAGAAGAGTGAAATTGTTTTACAACTAGGACAGGTAGATATTATTCTATTTTTATGGTCCTTTTAATATGACAATTTGCTAGGGTTCTCTGATGTGCCAAAGAACAGTTCAAACCTGAGATGGTTTGAACTTCTTATTTGTTGAATTCTCTTGCTTTTGTCCAGTATGTATCTTGTATACAACACTGTTTTCTTTTTAGAGAAAAACTCCCGGTTTACACTATCAGATTTTTAAATTACCCAATAATTCCAAAATTTGGTGTGCATGTTTCTTTGATGGGAACCATCAATTTTGATTCCGAAATTCTGTGAATGTAAAACATGTACAGTACCGTAGAGACAGGATCAGCTTTTTCTCATCATCTAAGCCTAACATGAAGCTCCTCTTTCATTTTAGTTCATCTAAATTTTGCAGTACATTGTGTATGCAGCTAGCAATCAACTTGCTTAAAATTCTTTGTACAAATGCTGCATGGCAAAGGCGTAAGCTTGGCAAAATTTTACAAGATTGGAGTGTTATCTATGTGCAGGTTTGTGCTGCAATCCAAATACTCTGAGTTTCTTACAACTTTTAATTCATTTTTTGGTGTATATATATATATATATTTTGATCAGCAAATAAAACTTTTATTAATAACAGAGAAATATTGAATTACAATAGTTAGGTTGCAGCACTGCGTTGATCCAATCTACAAACACATACAAACAGTTACAGTTCTGCCCAGTACAAGGTAGATCTATTTGCTCCCTGTTTTACTAGGGTATCCGCCAGCCCATTTGCAGTCCTTTTGACCCAACCAAACTGAGAGTTGAACCTCCTTAAGTATGTCAATTTCTCTGTAGATAAGTTTGAGCTTCCAGGGTGCTGAAGTGGTGTGTTTAGCCCAAGAAATGGCCAGTAGTGGGTCTTCTTCTATTTCTAAATCTGTTGTTCCAATCTGTGCAGCCAGCTTTAAACCTTGAAATAGAGCCAGAGATTCAGCCTGTATTGAGTCAGCATTTATTTAGGTTTTTATTAGATGCAATTGGAGTGCTGATGTAGGACAGAAAAGGGAAAGGTCTTACTAGGTTCATGTGATTGGCAAAGAAGAGAGTGCCATATAGAAGATACAAATGGATATTACAGCAGAGGAAATATAAGAGAGTAAAAGAAAAAGAACTAGTGCAAGAAGAGATTGTGCCTTAAGGGAGAGAGTGGGAGAAAGGAGAGATCATGAGAGAGATCTAAACCGGACTCCATTTCTTATTAATGAAATATGTTATCTTCTGTCAAAAAAGAGAGAGGTTCGAACCAGACTCTATAGGGTCTGAAGTTGGGATCGGGGACCTGATAAGACAATTATAAGTGACAGCTATGTCAATAAACCTACTACCTACATACATTTGATGGGAGTAACCTGGGCAACCCAGGTCTTTCTGGGATGGGACTTGGGAGGGGTTATAAGGGATGAAAGTGGTTCTGTGGCTCTTCTATTTTCAGGCCTATTAGGTGAGGGGGACTCCACGAGGGCAGAACTATTAGCTGCACTACAAGGGGTACAGCTTGCTGTACAGATAGGAGTGGAGCAGCTACTAATATATGGTGATTCTAAGGTGGTTGTGGGGTGGTTACAGAATCCAGAGACTGCAGTTTGATGCTTCAGAAATGAACTTAAAGAGATTCAAATGCTTGATGAGAAACTTGTATGTTAGAATACAATGGGTAGGGAGATCTGCCAATGCTATGGCTGACTGCTTAGCCAAGCAAGGGGCAACGAGGTAACATTTTTATTGGGCTCAGTTGTAATCCTTTTTAGTGTTTGATGGGTTGGAGAGGTCGCAACTCGTGCCTCTCCAAGTGTCTTCTGTAATAGTTGCTCTTGATTTCTTATTCTAATAAATTCTTCATTTTTTCAAAAAAAAAAACAATATTACAAATATCATGAGAAAAAGTAGACTCTTTTTATAGTGGAAGAGAAAAACAGGTATTAGACTGGGGGTATCTTTGTAATATGTCAATATACATATGCAGAATTATTGGTTCAGGTCTTAATCTGTTCTCAACCAGAACTGATCCTCACCCAATTATAATCGGGACACGTAATGCAGAACCAGATCCTATATAATTGGTTCCATTCAGTCCAGGTCTGTTTGGTCTGCCTGATCCATTGGCGGCAGCCCTACAAACCAATGACTAACTTTTCTCCATTATTGCTTCCTTTTCAAAGGTTTTGCCTCTCTAAGTTTATTAGGTAAAGCAGAATACAGGAGAAATAATTTTTGCAGATGTGTATAACCCCTCTGATGCATGTTATATTCCAGCAACCTAAAACAATTTTCTCTCTGATCTATCAACTTAAAGAAAATAAAAAAAACCAGATATTCCTGCTACTGCTTGGTTTTACAAGATTGTTTAATGCCGACTGTTGACCAAATAAACCCAGGAATCCAGTCAGCTAGGTAACTATGTTATAAGCTATTGGGCACTTGATATGTAATGAGAAACATTGTACCAAGAATATCATTTGCGTCTGAGTCTAATCTTGTAAAATTTGCTTAGAAACCAATAAATTGACAGTGGTACCTGTTTGCAAACCTGAAATGGAGTTTAAGATAAGAAGAAGAAAGAATAGAGGAGAGGGAAGAGAGTGGATGGGTGGCGTGTTCTCAGCCAGCCCGAAAGTAAAATTTATATCAAGTGTTTAATGGTACATAAAATGATTAATGCACCCCTGATTAGTGAAGGCACAATCAGACATAGAATAAAAACTAATTCAGAATTTCAGACAAAACAACTTTAGGCCCATTACAGCAATAAGTATTAGACATAAAGAGAAAAAAGGCTCACACATAATCACCCATTACAACACTCCTCAAGTTGAGCATAGATGTCTATAATGCCTAACTTGCTTGGTTTTGTCATGTTGTACCGGATTATTAGCACTATTTATTGTTGCTTTGTTGTCACAGTACAACTTGAGAGGACAATCAAACTTCATGCCCAACTCACCCAAAAGAGCCCTGTGCCACAATAGTTCCACAACACCATGAGCCATGGCCCTATACTCAACTTCTGCACTTGATCTAGCAGCCACATTTTGCCTTTTACTCCTCCAAGTAACCAAGTTCCCCCAACAAATGTACAATATCCAGAGGTAGATTTCTGTCTCCAATAGACCTTGCCCAGTCAACATCAATATAAGCTTCAATTTCTAGTTTACTGTGCTTTTTGAATAGGATTCCTTTCCTTGGATAAGTCTTCAAATATCTGAGGATGATCTCAACTGCCTTCATATGGGGAACTTTGGGAGCATGCATAAACTGATGACTCACCACATTTATTGCATAACCTGTGTTAAGCCAGGTAAGGGATAAATAAATCAATTTCCCTACTAACTTTTGATATCTTTCTTTGTCTAAATAATCCTCACCAATAGACTCTTATAGCCCATGATTTTGCTCCATAGGTATGATTGTTGGTCTACTCCTCATCATATTAGTCTCCTCTAGTTGATCAAGAACACGCACAAACACACACGATCTTTTTATCTCTTCTGGTCTTCTGGATCATTCCCTATGATGACCATATCATTCACATAGAATGAGTGTTGTAAGCATGTTACTCTGCCTCCTCATGAACAAAGTATGGTCAGCCCCACTCTTGAGTGTATCTTACATTCTTCATAGCACCACAAAGTCTCTCAAACCAGGCCTAGTGAGATTGCTTCATCCAATACAAGGCTTTTCTCTATCTACACACCTTTCCCTGAAAGTCACCGCTAGGTGGAGGACTCAAACACTTTCTCATGTAAGTCTCCATTCAAGAATGCATTCTTTACATCTAATTGGTGTAGTTCCCAAGAGTAATTTGCATATAAGGATAATAGAACTTGAATGGTGTTGAGCTCGGCAATGGGTACAAAACTGTCCTTGTAATCAATCCCCTCCTGTGTAAACTGCTTTGCCACTAGTCTAGCCTTATACCTTTCAATTGAACCATCCACCTTATGATTTACAGTGAATACCCACTTACATCCCACAATGCCCTTTTCTTCTGATAGATTCACTAGTCTTGGCTTTCACTAAGGCTTTCATTTCCTTATTCATTGCCTTTCTCCATTTTGGGTTAGATACTTCACAGAGTACCTAGTGGGAACATGGACAAAAGAAAGAGAAGGCACAAAGGAGTAACAACAGGGAGACAAATAAGAGTAAGAAACATATTTGGCAATGGGATGTCATGTGGTATAGGAGTGAGTAGGCTTAGGAAGAGCAATAAGAAGGTCAAAGTCAGGAATAAGTTTAGGAGCATAAAAAATAGGGCTACTTGGACTCACGGGGACATATTTATTTGAGTCTGGCTGGTTGCTGTTACAAGTTGGAGGTTCCTTCTTTCTCTTCTTGTAGAAAGTTTTTTTTTTTTTGGATAGGAAACAGTAGCTTTCATTAATGAATTGAAAAGATTACAGGCTTACCACCCACAAAATGGATGGAATATCAAAACAAAATGTTACAAACAAGCCCAAAACAAAGCCTCCCCAGTAGCTCCTTGCTTAGCTAAAGTGTCAGCCGTTCCATTTGCTGACCTTCTTACCCATTTAAAATGCACCCCAATCTCCCTTGCCAAGCTAATAATCTCTCTTAGAGGCTGTCTAAGAGACCAAACTCCCAAGTTTCCAGATTGCATCCACCCTATTACCAGCTTGGAGTCTCCTTCCACTTCTAATTGCTGCACTCCCCATTAATTCGCCAGTCTCAATCCTTGAAGTAATGCCATTACTTCTGCATGAATCTCCCATCCCAATTGGGCGCAAGTAAAGGGCCAAGACTTTTTTTTTTGATAATTGAAATGATTTTATAAATCAGCAATAAAAATAGTACAAAGTCCTCATGGAAAGGTACGAGTTGCAACCTCTCCGGGCTGGTTAAGTACAGATTTCCGAATTAATAACAACTTACATAGAAGCACAAAAAAGATCTTCCCTAGAAACCCCCTGTTTGGCTAGAGCATCAGCCAAAGAATTAGCAGACCTACTAACCCATTTTACCTCAAACTCTCATATTGCTAGTTAACCACTTTACTTTTTTTATGAGATCTTTGTAGCCCCAAATGGTGGTGTCCAAGTTTAGGAGCCACCTGGTTACCACCTGAGAGTCCCCTTCAACTAGGAGATTCTCCACCCCAAGCTGGTTGGCGATCTGAATTCCTTGTACTGCAGCAAGTATTTCTTCCCTTGTGGAATCCCCCACTCCCACCGGTCCTGAGAATAGGGAAATTATGTTGCTGTCCTTATTTCTCAGGATACCCCCTATACCTGAAGGCCCGGGATTGCCGTGGCTGCTTCCATCAAAGTTCTGCTTAATGACACCTTCC